AAGCTGTTGCGATTTCTCCGTCTGTCAATGGATGAGGGGCTCCAAACTTCCTTGCTGGTGCTGAGTCTTGCTTTGCTTGTTGGCAAACGATGCAATAGGGGTCTTTAGGTAAGTGAAGGAGACTATGTTCCAAGACTGGAAATACATCCTCGTCTTCAGGCTCTTTTCTCTCTTCTTCTCCCACCATCCCTCTCCCGGCACCCGAATCTTCTGGCGGAAGTGAAGGTGTATAGTCCGAATCTCCCCCATTTTCTGCCTCTTCTGCAGCAGGCATGTGACTCACCTCGACATGCTCTTTGAAGATTGGGACATTCTCCTTGACCTTGTCCGCGTAAATGCGGTACTCTTCTGGGCACGACACCTTCAAGTGCTCCACATTCTGCTTGTCAACCAAGAATGGTAATGGCAACGGGTCATCTGGACTTTGGGCAGGTAACCAGATGAAGGCCTTTCCTTTCCTAGCTTGCTCTCCCAGTGACAAGGCCCAGGGCGACGACTCTAGAAGGTAGCATTCGCTGTCACCACTAATATCTCCATGAACTCGGCATGATGTTCCCCCCTGCTTCTTGCCACCACCTGTGGCGAAGCTGACTGGGTTCTGGGATACTCCATGGTATTCATCTGGAATTTGGTCGAGCGTGCCAACCGTTCTGCCAGCACCTGAGTCTAAAATCCATTCTACTGTAGAGCTATTTGCATCAAACGATGTGAGGGGCACCTGGTGATCGTGATAGCATTCAACTGCGGGAAAAACAGTGTCTTGGCCTAGCAATGGCAACATGGAAACTGCACCCTTGAAGATTGTCTTCAAAGCACCTACGCCTGGCAGTGATCCTAAAGCTGCGACTGCAGCTGTCGCATGAGGAACTGACTTTGCCTTCGCCTTCGGCTTAGGCTTGGCCTTTGGGTCAGCCGAGGACGATGCTCCTCCTGCGTCGTGAATGAACGGGCATGGATCTCTCCTGCAAGTACCACTCGGGAAAAACAAACAGGGTTGACCAGCTTCGCCTGGAACTATCACCTTTGGATTTCCTTTGGCCTTTGGCTTCGGTTTAGGCTTGGCCTTGGCGGCTGCCAATGTTGCTTCTTGCTCTGCTTTAGCACTCTTTTCCTTTTCTTTCTTTTCTTTCTGCTTTTCTTTCTTTTCTTTGTCTTTGTCTTTCTTTTCTTTGTTCTTTCCTTGTCCCTTGTCCTCTTTCGTGAGGGTTGCAAGATTCGCTGTCTTACCTATCAGGGATGCCATGATGGACGAGGAGTTGATGTCATGCTGGGCTTCATCAAGTGTCTCTTCAAGTTTACCACAAAGCCACTCGAAGCTTCGAATCGGATCTCCAGCTGAAGCGTCTCTGAAACGCTCGATCTTAAGCTGCATACAAGGCACTTTCTTCAACGCCTCATAGAGCCATGAACGCATCATACCCTCATTCAATTGGTCACCTTCGTCAAGGCCGGAAAGGACATACATGACTTTATCCCGAAATTGCTCAAGATCTTTGATTTCGTTACCCGAAGGTTTCAATGCTAACAGATGTTGAGAATTCAAGGTCATGCCTCTTTCCTTTTCCAAGTGGAACCGACGTGCGATGCGATGCAACAAAAGCAAACCTGACGGATGCTTCCCCTTGATGCGTGCTTTCTCTTGCAAACTTTGGAATTCAAGTTGAAACTTGGAGCCCTTTGAAAGTTCAAGCAACTTGGTCCCAAGAACTCTAGACAAAATGGGAAACTCCTCGTTTGGTTCAACCTCTTCAATGGTTCCTTCAAAACCCAAACGCAACCATGAGTAAACAAAAGTCTCACTTGTTCTGCTGCATTGTGCAATCGAAGCTGTGAGGCCGTTCCTCCAGGGTCTGAAATCGCTTGCTGACTTTGGCAATGAAGACACTTTGAGCTTTTCGTATGACTTCAATCGCATCCTACGTTTCTCCAACAAATACTCTTCGTCTTCTTCTGAACTACTAGAAGAGCTACCTGATGCAGAATTGTCAGAGCCGGATTTCTTTCTCTTATGATTTTTAGAGCTCTTTTGCAATGGTGACTGGGCTTCTAAGTCTAAAACCTTTGCATTCAAGGCATTAAGACTATTTTGCAATGACTCCAAAACTGAATGATCCTGAAAAGACGACGGGATCGGCGGTACTAGGAACTGAGGCTGATACGAACCTTCGGCTGGTGCTGGAGGCGCGCAATGCGCAGCGCTCCGGCGTCCTGGGGTCGGAGCTTGGCTCGAACTCATCATGCGAAGCTGTTCTCTCAACAAGTCCCGTTCTTGCACCACCTGGGTCATTTGGATCTCTAGGTTTCCTAACTGACCCTTGAACTGTGTCAACATGGATTGCTTTTCGGCTTCGAACTGCTGGGCCTGCTGGGCCTGGATTTGAAGCAACCTATCCTCCATATTCTTCACAACTTGGTTATGAAAGGCTTGCGCATTGCCCATGGATTCTTGGTGCCTCTGCTCCATGCCCCCAACAACTTGGTTGTGGAGTGACTCTGCAGACCTGGTCAATTCGGCTAATCGGGCTTGGCTTCGAACCTCTTGGTTCTGGATGAATTGCTCATGGCTTACGGAAGCCTGATTCATGAGATCCTGCACTATGCTAGCGTGCTGGGCTTCGGCCTGTTGCATGGTCGCTGAAACAACTTGGTGGTGTACCTCAGGGGGAACACCCATTTGCAAGTGAATCTGCCTAGCATCAACAGTGAGTGCATTGAAGGTTTCTTCATGGATCGTTGCTGAATCAGTTTGAGCATTCCAACTAGCTTGGACTTGTGGTGAATTAGCATAATCTCCCCTTTCTAAGGCAGTCGGTGAGAACTGAACACCTTGGTTTGCGAACGGTCGCAAACTAGTACCCGATGGCGCCGGCTGGAGACCTGAACCTGATGGTTGTGACCCTTGGTTCCGATCCCTCACACGGCCGGGCGGGATTGCCACTGCCATGCCATCAGTGCTAGGTGTTTCAACCCTAGTGGCTGCCATGCGAACATCAGGGGATGAGCTCGGAAGGCTTTCACTACTAGTCGTGATTGGTATATCTGCCATTGTGGATAACTCACTCTGTGATTCCTAACGAATCTGGCCGTGTGGGGGGAACCCGCAAATGTAGCGCCCGCCCAAGGCCTCTTTTGCACCCTAGTTACGCAAATATCGGATTTGGGTGGGAACCTCGAAGACGAACTCGGGATCGCCTACTCGTTTCCCACGGTGCACCTGAATGTATGGGATGTTGTGCCGACGAAGATGCTTGCAGACTTGCTTGTTGTCGTCCACAAACACTGTACACGCAAGACGCTCTGCAATGCGCGCCTTGTCTTCCTTGTCAGTCACAACGAAAGTGCACAACGACAAATGAGGAACCGCGGACTGTACCAAATCCTTAACGTACTTTGCCAAATTGTTCCGTCCAATGAAAGAACAAAAGCAAACCGGAAACCCTTTCTGTGCAGCCGTCCAAATCACTCGCAGTGTCTGCAAAAGAATGAAGCTTGCTTCACGATTCGTCTCCGGAAGATACGAACGGCTCACGCGATCGTCGTCTCGCACCCACCAATCAGGAATTACGACCGTCTGCCAAATGTCGAGGATAAATGCCTTCTTCAGCTGACTCTCAATTGTCTCTAGCTTTAAACCAGCCCGGGTGTTCACCAACAAGACCCCTGGAATATCGCGAAACAATGGAATCTGCTTCAAAGAAACTTCCTGGATACCCTCGCTCAAATCGTCCGGGTTCTGCGTAAACAAAAGAACCTCCTCTCCTACACCAGCGCGATAGCCTGACAAAAGAGGCTCTTCTCCGGTCTCTTCGGCAGCTTCCACCTCTACAGGCTCTGAAGAAGATGCAGATCTCCTAGTCTCCCTGGCAGTCTCAGGTCCGTGAACGTAAACGTTGTATCCGGATGGCCTCGACTCCGAAGCAGCAGCCGGCTCTTCCTCAACGTAAATGTTCTTCCAAGCAGTGACCTCAAGATCAACAGGCTCAGCTTGAACCTCTTGTTCGGGATACTGTGATCCAACCTCTCTAGTTGTCTCCTCTGCAGACGCCGGCAGTCCACGAAAGCTCACTGTGTTGCGCACCGGCAATTCAATGTGCTCCTGTGTGACTGGTGGACGCCTCCGAGGCTTTGGAACAACCTTGACCTGGTAGGTGTACCACGTGTGCTGCGGCCTCGAATAGTAAGCGAAGTAGGCAAGAAAATTCTGGAAAAAGTGCCAAAACGATTCACGGCGCTTCTTTCTCTGAGCTGATTTCCCGCCACGCTCACCTCGGGGTCGCTTGTCCATGCACAGCCGACCTACGGCTGATAACCCAAAGGAAGAAGCAGCGGTGTATCTCCCTTTGGGAACCTCCGCTACGCTTCCGAAAATCACTCAACGAACCTCGCGCGTCGGTACGGACAGACGCGCCTTTTCTCCTTGAGCCAAAATTTGGTTCATAGTCGGAAGCTGACAGTACGACACTGTTCGAAGGGAAACTGGAGTAAACTGTGCAATGACTCCTGGTTTTTCTTTTGTAAACTCTCAACCTTCTACTGTTCCAGGTTCTCTCTATAGAATCAAAACCATGTCGTCTATAAAATGTCCTCAATTGTCATGTATTCTCTATAAAATGAGGGTGATCAACCTATTGACCCATCAATATATGATTTTCTCACCTCAGAGATCCTCAGAGTGGATCTGTCTCAGGTAGGTTGACATTTGATTCTAGAAAAAACTCTCTATAAAATGCCAGGTCATTTTGGAGCTCGACCTCCCCCATTCTATAGGGGTTATTCGGCAGAGGATTATATATATATATCATCTGTCTATATCATCTATGCAATCCTAGGTGGTACCGACTAAGCACAGCTCTACTAAAGATTGGAAACCAAGTCACACATGTTCCGAATGCAAGAGGGCACTCCAACACCTGCATTTGGCGTTTGTACATTGAACGACCTAAGATCCATGCGTTAAAGTGGGACTTGAAAGTAGCAGGAAGCCATGCTCATTGCCCGACCCGCTGTGATGCTGCGGCGCCAAAGTCGAAGCCAAAGTCAACCTGGCAGATCGCTTCGGTCGGCGGGTGTGCAAACTCCTCACGTTCAACATTGTTTAACATCGAACATGACTGCAAACGCCTTCCCCTGGCGATCAAATCTTTTCGCAAAGCCGGTGCACTAGTAGGTTAGCTACCAATCTAGCTACTGGCAGGTTAAACCTTTCTTTTAAGCAACCTCCAAGCTCATTGTTCCATGGTAGGGCAATTGGGGGCACTACTTCCGCGTCGCACTGGCTGCCTGAAGCAATGCTTCAGGACAAACTGCGATCTTGCCACAGCATTGGAAGGGTACTGCACTACCGCAAGACTGGCTGAACATGCCGGCTTCACGCTACCGTGCTTTTGGACTTCTGCCTCGTAGCTTAGAGTGGACATCGATGGATTGCGTATAAACCATCTGCACCATTCACATGCGACCAAAGGCGTCAACTTCCCAAACTGAATGAAAAACATGCAAGCCCATGATACAAACCACCTTTGTTATAGCAAGAAGGGAACAAAAACACACACATGAAAACTACTATATATAGTATATTTATGCTCAGCTCCACAGGTTTTGGACAATGGAAAGTAGGATGGCCTCCCAATGCCCTTCCCAAACCAAAACATACCAAAACAACCAAACGCTCTGTCAGGTCCCCAGTCCCCAAGCAAACGAACGCGCCCAAAATCAATCCTTGTGCAGCTTCTTGTGCAAGAGCTCTGAGATGCTTCCGCTGAGCTCGTGGGCCTGACGGATACGGATACAACTTAATACTGTAGTAGGATCTGGGAACCAAGCTGGCAAGTGAGTTCCTCACATGACGGTGTTCCTCTTAAAATCTGGAGCTGTACGTCTTGACCTTCCAAATACACTGAAATCGATACAGCTTGGAAGCGATACGTCACGTGCAATCTGCCTGACTGGATCAGCAAAGGCTCATCCGAACACAACTCCCATACCGTTGTTTCCATCAAGTCCTCCATTCAGTCAACCCCAGTTGATTGCCATTCCACTTTCAGTGGTCAGTAGTCAATGTCAAAATGATGACATCACTGGGTTTTGAGAGGAAGGACAGTGTTCTCCTCACGCATGCGGGGGTCCATGCCTGGGAGGTGCTTGTCTCTTTCGCGGCATGCAGCCCCCGCATCTCCAGATCCAAATGCAACCTCACTGTCTTCACCGAGTAGAACGCAGGCCCTGCCGCCCAACACATTGGGGTAGAGGACGCTACTAGGAACAAAGGGCATCGCTACTAGGAGCAAGAACGCTACTGGGGCTCCTGGCATCGCTACTAGGAACAAGGACGCTTCACGAAAGGATTGTTTTCGAGGACTCCAATGAAACCATTTGAGGGATGGACAATATTTCCGTTGAGTTATCACATGGGCCTTCCTTACCTCGTTCTCCAATCTCGCATCGTTTTTGGGGCGTAATCTCGTTCTCCATTCCTGTATCTGTTTTGTGCAATGTATACCCATCTCGTTCTCGAGAGGTGTTCCTATATACCTCGTTTCACCAGCTAAACATGTCATTAACTAAACCATTTCAAACACATGGCGCAATTGATGCCAATCTCGTTCTCGGGGTGTTCCTACCTTGTTTCGCTAACTAAATCTGACATTGGGCTATAGAAAAGGAACGCCCCTTCCACTTATCTTGACTACCGCAAATAAAAGCCGTTGCTCATTTGACTTCGCTCCACGCCCAGAGAAGTGGAACTTGTACTCACAACTCCCGAGGCTCCTGAGTGCTCTGGCTGGCTGGATTCGAGTTCTTGGGCTCGGTGTCGCAAGGTGCGAATGTCCTGCAAGATGAGAGGAACATCCGCTCTTGTAGTACTTGTGGTTGGATAATTAATCTTGGATAAATATTTCAGACCTTCTCTTGAAATGGTCACATATTCAACTGCTTATCCCCCTGCAGCAAAGGAACCACTAGACCCTGCCCTTCTTCATTCTTGTTATCCCCTGGCAGCCAACCCTCTCAGAGAGAGGTTCTGGACACGAACCACAACCACGAACCGGGCCGCGACGAACTGGAACCGCCAAGCGCTAAACCAAATCACACCCAACCACACATGGTCGAAACCGAACTCATGCTCGAGGAACCGAAACCGCAAACCGAGAAACCGAACCGAACTGACGCCGAACCGAGAAGAGGTAATGCCCGTTGCAAAAAAAACAAACCCGTGTTACGGAGAGGCTATCTGTGCTACAAAAAGAACCCACCAAAAAAAACTTGTGCAAAAACAGAACAATATATTTCCGTTTGGCTAGCTGCGGCTAGCTTTAATTAAAGGCACACACACAAGCTGAACCAACTGCCACAAGACCGCCAGCACCAGAAGCCGCCGTATATAAATCAAAAACTGACGCGAACCACGAACCGCACCGACACACTTAGATCATTGCTCGCAAGAGCTGTATCAGTTGGGCAATTCAGTGCAGTTAGCACTTTACGATCTTTACGTTACTGAAGGCTAGACCTTGACTTGCAGACCGGTACGAAGTGCTGGGTCGGTCAAACAGAAGGCTTTAACAGCTCGCATTGGCCCTGTAGAAGAAGTAGGGTGACAGCTTGTGAACACCAAAACCTGGAGAAGAATGTGTGTGGTCACCAGCTGCATCTTATCATGCGCCCAGGTGCCCCACAGCAGGTACGTTTACCTGATCTTCCAGTGTAAAGCTTCTTTGGCAGAGGCTCCAACCGGAGATCCCTCTGCCCCCTGCTTGCCGTACATAATGAGTCAAAACTTGAATTAACGAGACGAACATTGTGGTCGTTTTCCTTTGGCGCAGGATTTGACACGCACACACAACAGGCCGAAGCCGGCGCACCCTTGACTGAAATTTTCACCTGACACCTTTAAAGCCTCTGGCACGAACGAAAACCTGAGAGAAACGAAAACCCTAGAAGGAGACAAAGCAAGACCGTGCGTGAATTACTCAGTGTGAAACAGACGAGTGAATACTCTTAGCACTTGACTCAAAGTTAACCTGGAACCTGAAAAGCCTCTAGGAACGAAGAAAGACCTAGAAAACGATCAAAACCGCAAGAAGAAAAGCAAGACAGCAAACCTGTCCTATGAATACGTAGCTGCGCGACACTATTCCTATGAATACTTAGCGGCATGGCATGTCATTCTCAAGATGAGTCTCAGTGGGCTCTGTGGCTTTGGGTCAGCAATCTCGAGCAGAAACGAATAAGCCAGTGGTGACCAAGCAAGACGAAGATTCACTGAAAAAGCGCCCTTGAAGGCCTGTGCTACACGCACCCTCTCGATGGGAGGACACAGCATACCGCAGTGGGATGATGCTGCGACACACACTTAGATCATTGCTCGCAAGAGCTCTATCAGTTGGGCAATTCAGTGCAGTTAGCGCTTTACGATCTTTACGTTACTAGTACTGAAGGCTAGACCTTGACTTGCAGACCGGTACGAAGTGCGGGGTCGGTCAAACAGAAGGTTTTAACAGCTCGCATTGGCCCTGTAGAAGAAGTAGGGTGACAGCTTGTGAACACCAAAACCTGGAGAAGAATGTGTGTGGTCACCAGCTGCATCTTATCATGCGCCCAGGTGCCCCACAGCAGGTACGTTTACCTGATCTTCCAGTGTAGAGCTTCGTTGGCAAAGGCTACAACCGGAGATCCCTCTGCCCCCTGCTTGCTGTACATAACGAGTCAAAACTTGAATTAACGAGGAGAACATTGTGGTCGTTTTCCTTTGGCGCAGGGCACAGGAATTGACACGCACACACAAGAGGCCGAAGCCGGCGCACCCTTGACTGAAAATTACACCTGACACCTTTAAAGCCTCTGGCAACGAACGAAAGCCTGAGAGAAACGAAAGCCCTAGACGGAGAAAAAGCAAGACCGTGCGTGAATTACTCAGTGTGAAACGGACGAGTGAATACTCTTAGCACTTGACTCAACGTTAACCTGGAACCTGAAAAGCCTCTAGGAACGAAGAAAGACCTAGAAAACGATCAAAACCGCAAAAAGAAAAGCAAGACAGCAAACCTGTCCTATGAATACGTAGCTGCACGACACTATTCCTATGAATACTTAGCGGCATGGCATGTCATTCTCAAGATGAGTCTCAGTGGGCTCTGTGGCTTTGGGTCAGCAATCTCGAGCAGAAACGGATAAGCCAGTGGTGACCATGCAAGACGAAGATTCACTGAAAAAGCGCCCTTGAAGGCCTGTGCTAAACGCACCCTCTCGATGGGAGGACACAGCATACCGCAGTGGGATGATGCTGCGACACACACTTAGATCATTGCTCGCAAGAGCTCTATCAGTTGGGCAATTCAGTGCAGTTAGCACTTTACGATCTTTACGTTACTGAAGGCTAGACCTTGACTTGCAGACCGGTACGAAGTGCTGGGTCGGTCAAACAGAAGGTTTTAACAGCTCGCATTGGCCCTGTAGAAGAAGTAGGGTGACAGCTTGTGAACACCAAAACCTGGAGAAGAATGTGTGTGGTCACCAGCTGCATCTTATCATGCGCCCAGGTGCCCCACAGCAGGTACGTTTACCTGATCTTCCAGTGTAGAGCTTCGTTGGCAAAGGCTACAACCGGAGATCCCTCTGCCCCCTGCTTGCTGTACATAATGAGTCAAAACTTGAATTAACGAGAAGAACATTGTGGTCGTTTTCCTTTGGCACAGGAATTGACACACACACACACACAGCACGCAAAAAGAAAACAACATGAACCGAACTGAACCGCCGGGTCCCAAACCGACCACAAAACCGGAACAAGATCCACTCTGCTCTCTGTAAGTCGCTCCTGGTCTCGCTCCCAAAGTAATCTTTCCATGCGCCTGCATTCAGGGCAACAAAAAGTGCCGGCGCAACACTGGCAACACTACATGTGACCGATACTGAAGGCCACCCAATCGCTGGAGACATGAGGTCCAGGCACTTATCTTTGTATGATTCTTCTACTGCCATAATGGCCGTTTTACTTCCGAGTGATGTACTGTAAGCGGGCCCACAACTACGCAAAACATCGCAAAACTGGGTTGGAGGCCATCGCTCTTAGATAACTCAAGGCTAAGCTCCTTGCTGTAGCTCTTCTTCCAGCTTCACCCTCTCCACACCGGTGCGCTCGACACCTCCAGCACCAAAGCTGGCTCTGAGATTCATAGCGGCTAAAAGGACCTCCAACTCACTGATAAACTACAATGATACTTCACCCAGCTGCATGAATAGTTTCTTTTTGAGTCTCTAGTTTACCTCATTAGTCATTGTGAGATTCGGATATGAAATTATCAACTATGTATATACATTAAAAAGAACATATTATTCTATATTATAGGTCATTATATACATTGTGTACATTATATTACAGTATTAGTGTACTGTAATATGAAAGGTACTTTTGGGATGAGTTGGCAGCGACGTGTTGACTTGGAGGTGTCCTGAAACAGTGTCTGATCCAAATCTGGCATGTCATTCAATGTTCACGGTGAACTATTGCCATTGCTGCACACCTAGGTGGCCCTTACTGACGAAAGAATGGTTCATTTTGCTTTTCACTAAGCATCTGCATCACTGTGATGGGACAATCTGTCTGCCTGCCGATAGCAGCAACTCTTGGCGCTCTGCATGTGCGCTCAGGCGTTCTTCTGCCGAACTAGTGGCCTGCTACCGGTCGTAGAACAGCCGGTCACTAACATGGAGAATACCCACGACATCTTCTTGTGGAATACCTTTTCCATCGAACATATTTATCTCATGTTTCAAGTCGCCTTCACAACCCCCATTCAAAGCCATTCAAGCCTCAAGGATGCTACTAGGGCTCCTGGCCTTACTACTAGGAGCAATGTTCGCTACTAGGGGCTCCTGGCATCGCTACTAGGAGCAAGGACGCTACTAGGCGCTCCTCGTTGGCCACTTTGAGCTCCCCCTCAAGGTCCCACAGCTTGTGCTTCAAGCGGCGGCCTCACGCGTTGGAAACCACCAGCGGTTGAAGCAGTCCACAGCAAGTCGTAACTAGACGACTATGGGGTGACAACGAAAGCCAACGTGCATGCACAATGCACATCTATGCACACTCCATGCAAGCACTTATGTACTGTATTAAGCATTGCTGCCCTTTTCGCACATGCGAAATGAGTCATATAATGTCATATGTCATATATCGTTCCTTCTGCTGTGAAGAAATTGTTTGAAACAATGTAAAATCAAAGATTTCCATGCCCTCACTCAAAGTCTGTGCTGCAAGACATATTCAAAATTATTTACAACTTGGACCGCAACAAACACCAAAGAAAAGCGACTCCACCTACACCTGACCAGGCAAATCTGAGTATGGATATCCACCAAGTGCAAAACAGTTTTCACCTCCACAATAAACTGGTTATCACTGCATGATATTATTCTGCGCACGTGTGCGTGACCGATTACTGCTGAGTGCCACAGCTTTCACGCTGCGCATCCGCCAATTGCGCCTAGGTCAACACAAGGGCACACGTTACACTTTCCGGAGGCTTCAGTGACAGGAGCAATGACAACTCAACAAACTAGGCAGAGTCACAGATGTGAGAGTCTTAGTCGACCTAAATTGGTACTGCCTACAATTGCTCACTAGGGACAATTGAATCCTTATCTCTAATCACTGAAGTCTGAACAACTGATCTCTCAAGCGACGGATGATTGATCAAATGGGGGTGGCCGGGCGGCAAACAATTGGCAACATCTTGAGCCTAGCAGCCTTGAGGGCATTGGACTCCACATCTTGAGCTGCCAACACTGCCTGGGTGATTGGTGATCCATGTTTGCATGCAGGTCAGGTGACAGGTGTCCTCGCACTTCCCGTTTCGAACAGGCGTACATGATGGAACAAGGTATAAACATATTAACTTCAATTACTTACCATCTTGCGTCCTGCGTGCTTGTGGGCCTTGCACTTGTTCGGGTGCCACCTTCATCAATCCCGATTGCCACCACCCCAAACTCTGTGTGTGTGAGGATGTTGCTAGTTGTTCCAGCATTGCCTGGGAAAATTGTGCGATGATTACTTTTCACCATGGACCACCCCCTCTGGACACCAAGTCTGGCACAACAACCAACCTTGTTTCTGCCCCCGAACTGCCATTGTCTAGGAAAATTGCCTTCTAATTGCGTTGTACTCGGCATTTTGTTATCGTTCCTTTTGCAGCAGGGTTTGAATCATCAGCAGGAGCGTCAATCATCAAACAAACAACCATACAAAATCCTTTGCTTCTGTTCATATTATGATTTTCTTCTCAAACCATCAAAAAAGTGAGGAACATCAAATCAAATCAATCATGGGATTCTCCAAGGAAGCCTGAGCTCTTCTGCGTTCAAGCCTAGTAGCGTCCTTGCATGTCCTTGCTACTTGTTAGTTCTCACGGCCTACCCCCCCAAAAAGACTAGACTTGACTTGTCTATTCTTTTCTCTAAACTCTAGACCTTTTAGACCTTTTTATTCTTTCACTGTCTAAACAGACACACACACACACAATTTGAGCTGTTGTGCTTCCACTTATCCTGCGATTTGCCGTCATCGGCCTTAACCTCTTGCCGATCGCTTGTTGGAGGCGGTAGCGAGCGAGGAACTGATGGAACCTGGGCCATGGCCATGCGATGGCGACACTTTCCGGGACCAATAATGTTACTGTATTCTATTCTTGTATTTGTTTGTTTCGGACCGCAGGGTAGGCTGTTACTACTATAGCAGTAAGGAAGCTACTAGCCAAACCCAGAATGAAGGAAGCGGAAGGGAGCACACTCCACCGCAAACTTGAGAAAAGCCTGTAGCATGCAGTGTTGCTTGAGTCAATTATGCGTGTTTTAAGTCATTTCGAATCAACATATTGGTGCTCGGGACCAAGTTGGGCCCAAGAGGTTGTCTGGACTATAGCCTGTGGCAAAATATTGGCCGAGCACAATGTCAACCAAACTTTAGCCTCTTGCTTGCACCACCCCTGCATTTCCTCTCGGACTCGGCCGGAAAATGTTGATACCGACTTGAGGCCATCGCACTCAAAGCCATGGCTCAAACAAGTGCGACATTCTTGATGTACATTACACAATTAGACTATATATTATATAATATGCTTGCTAATCAACGTTCGACATGGTGAGGATGGATGGAGTATCCTTTTCCAGTAGTACTCAAGCTAATTCACTCGTGTAAGTGCTTCAAAAATGCGTGACTGAGCTTGCAGTAAGCTCCAAACTCTAAACAGGAGCCCATCCTTCAAACTGTTTCATCCTGTAGAATATGTGCTAACATTCTGTAGATATTTGATTGCATCAGCTGCGTTCCATCCACACAGAGTAGCTGCGATCCAAAGCCCATACGGTCGAATCAAACCGATCTGCAAGTTAATGCCAGAATTACTGGCTTCCAATAGCTGTTCAGAATAGAAGTACATATACTGTACATTTATGTATATATGGTGGCGTTTCATGCAAACATGGAAACAATTTGAAAATAACCTCGGCAAAACATAGCAAACTGCAAGCCCAGTATGCAAGTGTTTTACAGTACTGTTCCAAATAGACTAGTAGATAATGGTAGTGACAGCCAGCCTGGTATATTTTAAAATTTCCTTTTAGGTTGGAGGCCATCGCTCTCAGGTTGGAGGCCATCGCTTCTAGTTTGGAGGCCATCGCTGCTATTAGGTTCCTTTTGCTATTCTTCTCTATATTATATATGTGTTCATTTCTTTACAGAGTATGGTGCTGGAATGTGACTGTCTTGTCCTGAGCTGACAAGTGCCACAAGGTGCCCTCGCGGATGGGAACGCCCAGTAGCGGCTGGTCTGGCGAAGACGAATACCTGGTGTCACGCCGCATGGGCGGCCGCTCTTGATCGGCAGCGTTTTGTACACTATGCTCAAGAATATTCAATTCATACCTAATAGCGTCCTTGCTCCGTTCGTAGCAATGCCCTTTGTTCCTAGTTAGTAGCGAACATGGTTCTGTGCTTCCCTGTAATTAATGTCCACGTGTTGCTGCCAGTTGCTGCAATGCCCTCAGTTTCCGCAAGGGCGCTGTGTGTTTGTGGCAGTGTATGTGGTGTGCGTTTGCATATGTCACAGAAGATTGTTTTGATTCAGTGCGATGCAGTGGCTTTGCTATCATTATTTTTGATGATTCTCACTTAGGACAACTTTCACATATTGCAATTACTTGCATCTCTTTGCTGGAAAATACAACACTGGCAACGAGAAGCCAGCTCCGTGATGGATTTCAGCCCAGGGCACGTCTGCACACCCTGCACTTTTGGAGGCTGGGGACCCACTGGAACCCGAATCTCCATAGCATCCTGGACACCCATGCAACGGTGTCCGTCTTCTGCATCGGCAGAACAAATCCCAAATGTGTGTGCCGCACAACACCGTTCAGTGCGTACTGTACTTTAAACAAAAATATATATACAAGCAGTTCCCGGGCAAGCCGGCGGCGGAAGGTTCCAAAAGAATAAGCCTATAGGAATGGGCATGTGGCAGGCTGATTCGCCGAGCTGCGATGTTCTTTGACAAAACAAGTTGGAACCGACCAATGGAGCGAAAGCGAAGCAACCACCGTCAACTGTCTCGCTCTCCACTAAAGCCAGAGCATAGCTCTAGCCCTAGCTCCACTAAAGCTAACTGGAGCTAGACGTTAACTATGATGTGATAGCTTGTCTAGACACGAAGCTAATTAGCTAATTAGCTCAAATTTGTCAACCCCTAAAACACGTGTTTTGAGGTCTCCAGAAGGTAATCGAAATGACCGCTTTTGAGTAAGCAAAGTAGCTACCGCTTGTCAACCTCTCAAGAGAGCCGGGTGGTCGGGAGACATGACTCAGCTGCAGGGGTTGTAGTACAACTTGAGCACGCGGAGCAGCAATCTGGAGAGCTGGAAGCTGAGAACTGGCGACTTTGTAGTACAACTTTTAGTATGCGGAGTATCTGGGGAGCTGGAAGATGAGAACTGGCGACTTTGTGGTATAACTTTATTGCGCGGAGCAAACTGGGGAGCTGGAAGCTGAGAACTGGCGACTTTGTAGGACAACTTTAGTACGTGGCTGGGTCATCTCTCGCGGCTTCTGGCAAGTCGCCAGTTCTCAGCTTCCAGCTCCACAGATTGCTCTACGTACAAAAGTTGTACTACAAAGTCGCCAGTTCTCATCTTCCAGCTCCCCAGATACTCCGCGTACTAAAGTTGTACTGCAAAGTCGCCAGTTCTCAGCTTCCAGCTCTCCAGATTGCTCCGCGTACTAAAGTTGTACTAATACAAAGTCGCCAGTCTCAGCTTCCAGCTCCACAGATTGCTCCGCGTACTAAAGTTGTACTAGGAAGTCGCCAGTTCTCATCTTCCAGCTCCCCAGATACTCCGCGTACTAAAGTTGCACTACAAAGTCGCCAGTTCTCAGCTTCCAGCTCCACAGATTGCTCTGCGTACTAAAGTTGTACTACAAAGTCGCCAGTTCTCATCTTTCAGCTCCGCAGATACTCCGCGTACTAAAGTTGCACTACAAAGTCGCCAGTTCTCAGCTTCCAGCTCCACGATGCTGTGCCTGCCACGAAATCTGCACATGGAGGTTCACACAGTGCTGTGCCTGCCACGAAATCTGCACATGGAGGTTCACAAAGTGCTGTGCCTGCCACGAAATCTGCACATGGAGGTTCACAAAGCGCTGCACCTGCCACGAAATCTGCGCATGGAGGTTCACAAAGTGCTGCGCCTGCCACGAAATCTGCACATGGAGGTTCACAAAGTGCTGTGCCTGCCACAAAATCTGCACATGGAGGTTCACAAAGTGCTGTGCCTGCCACGAAATCTGCACATGGAGGTTACAAAGTGCTGTGCTTGCCACGAAATCTGCACATGGAGGTTCACAAAGTGCTGTGCGTGCCACGAAATCTGCGCCTCGAGGTTCACACAGGGCTGTGCCTGCCACGAAATCTGCACATGAAGGTTCACAAAGCGCTGTGCCTGCCACGAATTCTGCACACGGAGGTTCACAAAGTGCTGCGCCTGCCACGTAATCTGCACATGGAGGTTCACAAAGTGCTGCGCCTGCCACGACATCTGCACGTCAAGAGACAAGTGAAAACTGTCATCACTGTAATCACAATGGAGGGACGATTCCGAGAATGATCCGAGCATGAGCCGACCATGACCCGAGACCGTCTCGCAACCGTCGTTCTGCGGAGCTTCCCCGTCGAGGTTCGGAGCCGCATGGAGGTTCACAAAGCGCTGTGCCTGCCACGAACTCTGCACATGGAGGTTCACAAAGTGCTGCGCCTGCCACGAAATCTGT